CATGCAACCGACATAGAGCCGCTTCAGATTCCTTTTACACAGTCGTATGCGAGACTTCGCACACTGCTCTGGAAAATGAGCCTGGAGTCAAAAACAAAACGAAACTGCAGACCCCATTGGGACTCTCCTGTCTGACTCTCTGGCATGGGGCCTGCAGTTTTGTTCACCGCATTAACGTGTGGGGTTTTTGTTTTTAGTGTTGTATCCTCCACCTCCCTCCTCCTCCTCCTCCTCCTCCTCGCTCTAACTGCCACCCACGAATTGTCACCAAACCACTTGTCATCAACCAATTGCCGCCCACCAATTGTCACCAACCAATTGCCACCAACTGATTGTCACCAACCAGTTCGTGGCAGGCGCGGTACCTGGTGCTCTCCAAGGGGGCGGATGTACGCCCTGGGGTCGCTGTGTCGCCGCAGCTGCGCCGGTGATTTGCGCGGCAGGCGCGCCGCTTGGTGCGCTCCAGGGTTGCCACCCACCAATTGTCACCAACCCATTGTCATTAACGAATTGGAACCCACCCAGCGTCACCAATGCTACCAAGCAATTGCTACCAACTATCGACCAATTTCTTTGTTGAATTCTTTTTACAAAATCTACTTGATCCTGATCAGAAAACGTCTGCACACCGTTTTGGAGGATGTTCTGACTAAGACACAATTTGGGTTTAGGCCTTGTAGGAGCACTTCTCACGCCTTGTCGTTCTTCACTCGAAGAATGCAAGATATCGCGGAACAACAAGGTTCTAATCTAATTATCACTTTTCTTGATTGGGAAAACGCATTTGACAAGGTACAGCGTGAAATTGAGTCGTGGAGACTCGCTGTCTGTGATTTCTGACTGCGTGCGTGCGGGGTTCTTTTAGTTGCTTCGACCTGTGGCCAACCAATCGAAAAATCAATAGACAAGTCCAATTTTGTAGTAAAAGCACGCTTTCAAAAACCAACTGTCCAGCCACTACACTCAACCCTTGACTTTTGTGCCACACTCAACCCTACATTCTTGCGGCTGTCCAGCCGCCACACTCAGCCCTTGACTTTTGCGCCACACTGAACCCTACACTCTTGTGGCTGTCCAGCCACCACCGCATTCAACCCTAGACTCTTGGCTGCCAGCCACCATTAAAGCCTGACTGCCAGACCCCTGAAATCTTTTCGTTCCTTTCAGTGCTCTTCTTCTTCCTGTAGCTGCTCTGCGTTCCATAGCCCTTTCAGGATCAAATGGAAAGCAAAAGAAAATTTCCTCAGATTCTTGGATGGCAGCGTCCAGGCTGGTGTGCTTGGCACACCACCAGCCACAGCCACCATCAATGACATAAAACTTTCACCTCCATATGCCCAGCAGGCTCTGGGGGCCAGGAACCTGCTCTGTGTTGAGTATTGTACTAGGAGGTGGTGCTTCTGTTGTATTCTCCCTTCAGCATGCTGTCTCTTGCAAGCCATGCATAGTGTGCCAGCAGTTCCTCACATCTTTCTTCGAAGTTCCTGGCAGTCTCCTTCTTCCAGACATATTTTTTTGTCACATAAATTGTATGCCTCCTCCATGGCTTTACAGAGAGCTTGCATGTGCTTTCCTCTCTGGTTGGTTGCAAGGGTGGCTGCCAGCTGGGTTGCTACTGGTGCACACCTCCTCACTCTTCTGCCTTTCACATGCCTCAGGCAAGGAAAGTCATCTGCGAAGATGTCTGAGACATTCAGCCTGGGGATTCTCTGCTGTGCTTCTATGCCCGGCAAGGCGATGGCCACCGGGCGGCCTGCTGCCCTGTAGACGGCCCAAAACGGTCTGGTGGCGCAGCGCAGGGTATCAAGCCTACTTGGGTGTGCTTTGGAGTAGGAGGACTTAAAAGTGGGTTGTAACTCACTTGCAAATTCAATATGTTGCTCAGAACCTGTCTAACTAGACGAGAAGTAGTGTAACTTCTGAAGACTTCTGCAGAAAGTTACAAGTTACTTAGGAATTTGTTCCAATATATTTCCCCTAACTTAATGGAAATTATTTTGAACTTTTTTTGAAGTTATTTTTCACAAAAAGCTTGTTGGTTTTCTGCTTGGTTGGTAAGCAAAAGTTGCGCCGCTGAACCAACCTCCTCAGTTCATAAATTGTTTGGCTTGCCATTTTCATTGCGGTTTTCACCGTTTCAGGATGAACGGAAATGTTCACATTTCCGCATCAGATTTCATTTCACAACATCGCTATAAAGGAGTGTGCGCTAGTGAATAAACAGCCTGCCCGGGCTTGTTTCTTCAGAGCACCGACTGAAGCTTAAAGACATGACCTATAGCAGCCAAGCCAGTGATGCACACGGTAAAAGTAAATCTCACTTTTAAACAAAATGTATTTCTCACTCTTCAAACTTAGGGGTGGCCTGGCTCTGCGTTTTCAAGAAGGAGATTATAAAGTAGTTCTGCAAGGCTGCCGATGCCTTTAGAAAGGACGTGCAAATCAAACTTGAAAAAACTGTGAAATGTCAAGTTCAGTTTTTTTTCAAGCACCCAAGGTGCTGGTGATGTAGGTCCTCCAGTCCTGCGTAACTCGCACCTTTTTCACCGCAAAAATCAGCAAATTACAGGAAGCCACCCGTATACCACCGTATACCGTCCGTATACCAAGCCAGGATCCCAGCCGTATACCACCGTATACCGTCCGTATACCATCCGTATACCACCATGGCCCCCGTATACCGCCGTGTACCGTCCGTATACGACCCGTATACCACACACCCCCGCCCACCCTCCCCCTGTCTTCAAAGTTCCCAGGTTTTAATTTTTTCAGTTTTCCATTGAGCTCTTTTCAGGGATTCGAGCAGGGACGGACTAACAAAAGGAGGCGCAGCATGGCGCAGTTTAAATTTTGTGGGGCAATGGGGAAGGTGCAGTCTTGTTTCCTGTCGAGATTGTAATTTAATACACATGGTCACTGTCTCTTTCGCGTGCGCAGACGATGGCCAAATCTACCTTTTCCGATAGCGCGTGACAGAAACAAGGAGATGCCTACCGGGTTCTGTTCTCACCGCTGGTTTTACCGCTGGTTTACATCATGTTGACGTGAAAGTGCGGTGTTCACCGCTGGGTTTACACCGGGTTGCTGCATGAAAGCGCGGTGTTCACCGCTTTGCGCTGAGCAGGTTGGTCTCAGCGAGCGGCAATGATTTTTAAAAAATATTGGAAAATAGTCAATCTGGTTTCTTGGGTTTTCAAAAATTGAAGTTATTGGAAATTATTTCGAACTTAGATTGAAGTTATTTTGTCTTTTTCTTAAGTTCTATAACTTCCAAAAAAGATAGTTGCAAGTGCCGCAACTCAAAAGGCACACCCAAGTAGCAAACGACGCCGTCTGTTTCCACACCAAAAAGGGACGCGCCAGCCTAACATCGCCTGGCACTTTGCCTTCCACTCCCAGGCAAGGCCGTAGGGGCTATAGCAGCAGCCCGTAGCAGCAGCGCGGCTAGGGCGGGTGTAAGAGGGACGAACCGAGGTGCGGGACCGCATCGTAGCAGCCTAGGTGATGGCCACAGACCTGTCCCACGTGATGGACTAGGCCGTAGTAGCTGTAGTAGCAGCCCAGCTGATGGCCACACACATCTCCTCGTAGTAGCTGTAGTAGCAGCCCAGGTGATGCAAGTCCGCATAGTAGCACAGGTCCTTGGCCGGGGCTTCTCGCTGCGCTGTCCCAGGCGCCGCCCTGCTTAGGCATCGGCTAGGCCAGGGTCGGCGGATTAAAAATTGGACAGTATACTACCGTAAAGCGCTTGGACAGGAATGAAGGATATTTCAAGCAGCCTGCAAATTATTTACATGCTTCGAGTCACCGAGTTGCCTTCAAAGCTGCTACTTCTTGCGCGTCGGCTCACGGAGAAATCTTTGGAATGAGAGAGAATGAGATGAGACTAGAACCACCCAATTCCACCCAGACATGCATTCGAGAACCCTGCAGGTCGTAGGTCTCGTCCTTGATAGCCGTATAGGTCGTAGGTTGTTGCAAGTCGTGCCAACCCCCAAAGGAAAAAAGGTCGGTCCAGCTCCGTCCTCGTGAAGCAGTGAAGAACAGATCCACCGAGCCACAGCTTTCCACCATCTAACTCCACACCAAAAACGGGCGAGCCGCAGCCAGCCAAAATGCCTAACGTTGCCTGGCACGTCGCCTTCGGGAGCCCATAAAACTAGTAGTTGCTTGACTCCCAAAGCTCCCGGCAATCTGCTTCGCCACGCTTTTCCACCATGGTGATGGGCGCCAGACGGCAGCATGGCCACTCCCAGACAAGGCGGCGTTGGCCAGTGCAAGTCCGCATAGTAGCACAGGTCCTTGGCCATGGCTTCTCGCTGCGCTGTCCCGGGCGCCGCCCCGCCTAGACATCGGCTAGGCCAGGGCCGGCGGATTATATCATCCCAATTCATTCAATACTCATTCAACCATATTTCCTATCACATCGTTCCCTAATTTTATTGCATGTTTATATGTTTCCTTCTATGCTAAATAATTTACTTTAGTGAATATACATGAACCCATTTAAGACGCACGCTCACAGTGACGAGCTCTCTTTTTTATTAGCCAGTTTGTCAACCTGCTATCGCGTTTGCTTGATTCTTGCCTTGATCTACAACACTCTACTCTGCGCTTCTGTTATTCCGCCTCGCCTTTCTGCATTTTATTGAGTGTTTGTTGTGTGACCGACCGCCCACGGTAGATACGCACTAAAACTTGTAGTAGTACTTGTAGATTTTTATGTTGTCCAAGTCTCACTGCGTGATTGATATAGTGGTTTTTAGGAATAGAGTGCAGGAGTTTTCGCTCCAATCTTATTGCCCTTTGCAAATTAATTCTGCGGATTTGTTTCCTTAGCACTTACGCGTCGTACTCTTTACCATTAAGTTTGATACTATACACAGGGGTGAAGAAGGGTGAAGAGGGCCTTGAGTAGATAATGCGGAAAGGAGGCCGTTGTATACGGAAGAGTCCCTATCACATATACAACTGTGTTTGTTCTGAGAGCCACTTTTGAGGCTTGCCCGAAGCAGTACCGGTGGCCGCCATATTTTCCACCTCGAGCAGGTGGGCGCGACAGAAGAGAGGAACAACGTGAAGCTATTGTTACTACTAGTAAGGCACTTGTTACTACTAGCGTGGCACTTGCTTCTAATAGCTTCTTGTTGGTAAATAGGAAAAAACACAAACATGAGAAAACAGAGTCGTTGGCGTGTGGGAACTTTGCGGGGAGAGAGACCACCCAACGAAGAAGGGGACAAGTCAAATTGTATGTTTTGTCATCAATTTTGTTTTGTTTCCGCGTAATTACATGCGTACAGTGTAGTATAGATGTCTCATATATGTATGTGTCAGTGACGCTGTTTTCGGAGCCGGTGGTCGAGTCAAATTGGAAGGAGGAGTTTAACTACTAGTAAGGCGCTTGTTACTAGTAGCGATGCACTTGTTCCTAATAGTTTTTTGTTACTACTAGTAAGGCACTTGTTAACCGTTTATCTTCAGAGGAGAGGATCTCTTAAGTCGCGACGAGATCACTTCGATCAGTCGCTCTGCGAGAGCGCTGCGTGGATGTCGGGCTGCGAGAGTTTGTTTCCTGGGCGCCGAAGGTGAAACCTTGGGGTCTTCACTTTCAGGAAACTGAAGTAAGGTATTGCGGTCACGCCTGGAAGAACGGAAAAGAGGAACTACATTTAAAATTTGCCAAGGCAACATCATTTGGGTCAAAACTCAAGGCCCCAAGGCTGACTGCCTGTGACGCAATGAAGAGTGGCAGCCCGTACTTCAAATGTCAAGAGCCTAGCCAAAGTGCAACCTGCCCAAGAATGCGGTTGGATGGCGGTAGGGCGGGCTGGCCACATGGCAGGCAGGACACCAAATTCCCGATGCAACTCGTTGGTATGCGCAAACATGGACGTCTCGCGGAGGTGTGCTCCACTGGTTGGCGACCGCTTGAGTGGGATTTAAGCTTTCCGCTCACATTTGAGGGACCTCCAAGGCTCGCAGGTTTCTTGGTGAGGGTAAGTCGGTTGCGTCGTCTGGGACCTGACTTTAGTTGCGCTGTGTGACTGGTTGGGGTCGGAGTGTAGCGCTCGTCCTTAGGTGGTTGGCAGGTGCTGCGCGTAGATCGCCGCGTTGTGACGTCGTTGCGGCGCGCATTTCGCTTCCCCGAACGTAGTTTCCTTGTTCGGAAGGTCACAACGACTTGGTGGAGACCGACTTGCGGACCTACTTTGGCGAGGCGACGAAAGCGAGGGTGGTAAAAGCGGCGGTCTTGGAGACCTTCGACAGCCAGGTTTCCTCCTTCCTTCAGGATGTGAGACACATTGCAGAAGGGAAGAAGGCGCAGCGCAAACCTCCAAAAGTGTAAACAGGCAAAAAAAAAAAGAGAAAGGAAAACAAAAACATGGTTTTTGCTTTTAGCTGCTGAATTCAAACTCGAAGAGACTTGTTCCTGTGACGTTGCTGTCAACGTCTCGCCTGTCAAAAAAAAAAGGAAGAAGGAGACATTTTTTCGGCGTTTCGTGTAAAACGAAAGCGTTACACGCTGTGTTTTTTGTTTTAGAATGTTACACAACCATGCAGAAGAGCGAGAGAGAGACGCGGTGCTGTGGCAGGACGTGCATGCAGGCAAAGAAAGGACATTGGTCAATCTCTTCTCTCTCAAAATGGAATCGGAACACTTTACAACCTGTATGCCCTGTATGCGCAACATTGTGAATCCTCCAGCATCGATTAGAGTGCTGGTTTCCCGTGGCCTTCTGCACCATCTCCAAGAACCCATGTTGATTGCGCAACCCGCTTCGCGCCTCGCGCGTCGTTTTTTTTGGCGCGACAGACTTGGGCGGTTGCAGTTGCGGAAAACATGGACCGCACGGACCGGTGCCTCTTTGATTTGGCTCCGCAGCTCGGTCTGCGCAAAGGGCGGAAACTTCATGGTCTTTCCTCGCGAAAAAGGACGGGTTCTCTTCTCGAAGGAAAACATGCTCACCAGGTCTCACCAGGTCCTGAAAGCCCACCAGGGGTGTGAAGCTTCTCGCTAATCACAACCTGAAAAAATGACTGTTGAGTGTGGACGCTGAATCTGGCAACCAAAGAAGCCAGCCAAAATTGAAACCAGTCCGCCACAACAGCATGTCATATGTTACATGCTTTTGTGACAAACAACAAAAGCGGTGTCCCACAAAAGCATCCCCAAATGTCAAACAGAACGTCAAAAGCCTCCCGTCAGGATGAGCTAGAGTGTTCAGTGTTGCACCATTTTTCGCAAAATGTTTTTCAATGTTTCAAGTCTTTTTGTTAAATTTGTTTCTAATTTAACTATTGTTTCTAATAGCTTCTTGTTACTACTAGTAAGGCACTTGTTCCTAGTACCGATGCACTTGCTCCTAGTAGCTTATTGTGGTTTCAAGTCTTTCCGTCTAATCTAAGACTGACTGTGTGAAACTTGCCGTCGCCCGTCAAAAGGTAACCAAAGCTGCGCGTGTGAGGCTGCATTCCGGGCCAACGGCTACGCAACAATAGCCTCGAAGTGCGTCGGTGAAATTTCAATAAAGGTGTGAGGCTGCTCTCCAACATGAATCACGGAACCAGAAAGGCTCATACCCTCCAAAAATGCCGCGGTTGGGACGCAAGTCTTGCGGCGGTTTAGAGTTCCTCCAAAGCAGTGTCTGAGAGACGGCCGTGGTTCTCTCCACGCAGTGTACACACGAAAAGGGGTTCTTACGGTAACGTAGTTGGGTTTGATCGAGGATGTGAGGGCACACCAAAGTGCGCGAGTTCGCACTTCGACTGGGTCCGAGGCGCTTTCCTTGACGCCCTCGTAACCAGACCGGGCTTGGCGATCACTTTTTGTGGCGGGCGCTCGTGCTTTGGTGGCCTGAAGTCGATTCTTCGTGGCAGGAGCCATTTTACTTCGATGTGCAGATTTTGTGGCAGGCACAGAGCTTTGCGAACTTCACTGCGCAGATTCGTGGCATGGAGCAGCGTGTATTAGGAAAGCACTGGTCAGGGAAGCAGCAGAAGTAGCCAAGCTGCAGCAAGCCAGCTTGCCACTTTGTGCGAAACACGAGGCGCGATTGTTTCTGCTCGAACCCTCGGACTCTTTTTGTCCAAACTTGAAACGGCTTCAGGTACACTTGTCGATTTGTGCGTGTCTTTCATGACCTGCGCTCCTCCCTGGCTTGCCTTTTTGGCGAAGCCAGCCACACAAAAGACCATCAGCTCAAGCCGTTTGTACGGCAAAGCTTGCACTGGCGGATCTCGAGCATTGTGCCCGTCACAGCAGCACAGCGCGCGTCCACATGGTGGGTGCCGAGCTGGTCCTCAAAGATGTAGTTCACTTCCGCCAAGCTTCTTTGCCCTTGCTCTTGTGCGACATGTTGGCACCTTCCACAAATTGGGTGTCCTCTTGCCCTGTGTGCATTTCGAAGTCCTCTACATTCTCGCCTTCGATGAAAGCACTGACTAGACTCCGCAAACCAAGCCTCCCATGGTGCCTCCAAAGTGAACCTCCTTCGCCTTCCCGTCAGGGAAACTTGCAACTGCTGTTCCACTGGCTGATCCATCTGATTCGGAGGTTCCCCATGTGGTTCATCCTGATCCAAGTGGTCATCATCTTGAACTCCTTGAGTTCCTTGAGTTCCGGAGTCATACTGCTCTGCAGAACGAATGTCATTCCCCCTGGTAGATGACATCGAGCTCCTCGAAGTGCTTCCGCCACAGTGCCTCCCATGGTTTTGACGCCCTTGCACTGTGTCTGACCTTCCACTTCTTTCGCCACTCGATCTAGTAGTAGACCTTGTACCCGATGTAGTCCCATCAGCTGTCACCCTCATACTCCTCATGGTCGGGTCTTCCCTTTGTCGATTCCAATGCATATGACATCGTTGGAGGATCTTCATCAGCACCATTCCTAGGATCATCATGATCACCCCGAACATGTAGAGCGCCTCAGAACCATCGTCATTTCCTGACTCCTTCTTTGTGTCTTTCTGTGCAGCCAATGCTCCATGGATCTTCTGAAACATCGTGATGACCGTCACCAACTGTGCGATCTTCTTGAAGTCGTTCTCCAACCACAGGCGGTGCGCAACAGGAAGATCTTCTTCTGGTTCGTCCTCCTGCTTGTCTCTCCCTTTTGGTTGCCATCCCATTTCCATATTTCGCATGAGGTTCTGCGTGCGAGTTGGTGCCAACACCTTCGTCCCAATGTCAGCAACCAAGTCCTTGCCGGGCTCATACTTCAAGTCCCAAGACCCAGCTTCAAGTTTCCATCGAAGATGTGCTGCCCTCACCTTCAGGTGGCGCGTTCTCCATGCTCCTGTGGCTGAACTTCCCAAAGCGATGGCCGCCGTGTTGTCACACTTCAGGACCTTTGTCATGTTTCCAGCCATCTCCTCAACCAAGCAACTCACACTGTCCCCAAGGATGACTGACTCAATGACTTCAATCAGCTCTGCCTCTGCAGTGGACAGTGCCGGAAAAGGCTGTTTGGAAGATTTCCACGCAATCGGTGAACCACCCAACAGAGTGATGACAGCTCCATGCGAATGTCCTCCACCACGCGCAAACGAAGCGTCACTGGTCGACTCTAGTCCAAATCCACATTTCTTGCGGTACCAGATGCCAACTCCTTGAGAGTGATTCAGGTGGCGCATGACTTGATAGGACGCTTCCAGGCCCAAAACTGGAGCTCTAGATGTAGACGAGCAAATCCGGCTCACACCGTAGGAGATATCTGGTCTTGTCTTCGTGGACAGCCATAGTAGTTCACCCGCCGCTTGCTGTGCTGCCCGAATGTCATGTGGGGTTTTCCCAGGTTCATCCTCTGGTTCAGCTGTAGTTCTCATCACCAGGTTTGATGCTCTGGCGTCCATGGAGTGTCTTCTCAACAACTCTCTCAGAAATCCACTCTGGTTGATGAAGAGGCCTTCTGTGTTTCTGTGGATGTCAATCCCACGGAAGCGCAACGGATCTTCTCCAGCCCACTGTGGGTCTGTCGTCTCCCAAGTCTGAGACACCTTTTTCGTTGCCTCTTCAACCACTTGAGGATCACCAAGGACCAACAGGTCATCTACGTAGACCAATGCCAACCCACGCACTAGGCCAGAAGACCCATCTGCCCGGTCCTTTTCTCGTAGGATCCAAAGGTTCTCATCTGAAGGCAATTTGAACATCATTTACCTTGAACTCAATGGTCGACAGTTGAGCATCACGGTGATCACCCCACAGCTTTGGCGCTTCTCTTAGTCCATAGAGTGCCCGCTCCACCATCCACATCTCTCCTTCTTGAACCAAGCCCAACCGAATCAGGATCCGTGGGGGTTGCATCAGGACCAAACGCTCCCTTCGGTTTGGATCCACCTTCTCCTCCAAATCCTGCTCCATTGGTTGTTGCCCACCTTCTTCTCGATCTTCCAGGGCCTGAAGCTTCTTCTTCTTGCTTTCCTCCACCGTGCACAAAGGAGCATTCAAGAAGGCCGTTTTCACGTCCAGTGCAGCTGCTGTCCAGTCGTTCTCAGCACCCACAGCTAATGCCGCTCTGAGACACGTGGTATCTGCACCACCGGCGTATAGTTGTGCCGCCTCCTGTTTGGCTCCTCCCGCTCCAGCGCCGCTGAGGTAATTCCCGCACACTACTAAGCGGCACTTCTTGCGAGCGTCCGGGGCCTTGATGGAGTGAATCGCGTTCCCTGGGACGACTTCTAGCTTGTCGCTGTGTTCCCGTCGATAATATGCCACATCTTGCGGAGTCAACCTCCGGATGGCTTTCTTCTCTTCCAGCGATTTGATTTCCTTCACTATCGCCTCGATCCAGTCAGCCTTGTTCAAAAAGACTTCCTCGTTCGGGATGATGCGTGTCTGGAGGATCTCGTCTTCCGCAGGTCTCGTTGCCTCAGCTTCTTGTTCTGCTCGAAATGGAGCTAGACCTCGCTGCAATGCTGGAACTTCTCTTGCTTCAGAACCCAGCATGTGTCGTTCCTCATCGTACAGGACTCGAAAGAGACTGACTCTGTGTCTCTCCTCCTCCTCTTCTTCCTGAGTTTTCAAACATGCCACACTGGCCTTTTCCCTGAGTCTTCGTCTCAACCTCAAGGGATCATCATCCGCCGTCACCTCAACGAGTGCCAGCTCGTCCTGATCTTTCACCGGCTCCTTGATGTCCTTGATCGTGCAACTCACAACCTTCACGAACCCTCTGTCTGTAAGGACGGCATGTCCCTTCGACACCTCAGGAACTGGTGTGAGGTACTTCACCTGCTCTCCGGTGGACTCAAAGGCTCCTTGGCGCTGCAGCTCCCAGGACCTCTTCTTTACTATCATGGTCTGTCCAAAAAGAGG